ACTGGGAAAACACATATTTGATACATATGAATGTGACTTCATGAAATTTGTATATGCGCTTTAAATACAAACGTGTTGAAGCGAAGCAAATAGTTTCCAGATTTTTTGAGACACGTCTGTGAATAATTATCGAATCACAAGGGGTGCCATCTATTGAGCCCACATTATAGCAGACACGGGGCTGGTGCTTGTTCATCTCATCTCACTTGATCTTCATATCAGCCCTGCCAAGTCTGTGGCATTATTCTTGTTTGAGACAAAAGAATATTTTACTAAGTCTGGAGTTAAGCCTCACAGAGAAAGAATATTTGCCTGAGGGCATGCAGCTGACAAATAGAGGAACCAGGAGGACCTGGGACTTCTTGCCCGAGAGCCCAGGCTCTTTCCTCTAAAGGAAAGAAACTTTAACCCCCACAAACAGCATCTGTATATTTTCAGTCTTCAGATGCTAGAAACATTGTTCACTCTCTCTAGTATCTGTTTTAAGCAAATTACAAATACAATAATAGAATATAGTATTCTGGAAGTGGATGCCTGCCTTTTCACATCAAGGTCACCAATACAGAATTCTGTGTGTGCTTAGTCTCTGGGGTTTCTGTGTCATATACATGTATATGCATCTACCTTGCGCCACTTGTGCCTCCAAGCAGTGCATCATGTGTCACATGTGTGCACGTACCCAGGGGTACATCTAGGTTTTATGGGGCCTGAAGCTTATCATTTGGGAGACACAAATAGTTCTAGGGCTCCTCCCAGGAGCCCATGCAGGTAAAGCCCTAAAGCTCGGTGGCTTCATGGCAGCCCCACCTCTGTACATACATGTGTATACATGAACTATATATGTATGCATGACGATATATAGAGAAACCAGCAATTGCTATCATCCCTTAAGCAGGAGCCTTGGCTCCATTGCTTAGCACCATAGAAGCGCCTTTTACGGTTAGCACTAGGTATTTCTTTTCTGGGAAGATGGAGAAGATTTATCATGGATCAAATGAGCCAAGAATTTTTTGACAAATACCTTTCGAATTCAAACCAGTGGTCATTAGGTAAGTTAGATAGATAGTGCTATGGCTCGTACTCTTTATTTTCAGGAGGCAAATAAATATAACTTATTTTTCAAAATCTTTTTTTATTCCAGAGATCATTTTGTTAATACTACTTTTTAGATATGATCTTCTGTGTATATGAACATTTTAAAAGTGTAGCAGGAGAAGAGGCTGGGTGTTGGAGGGAATGGGAGGCAGTAGAGATGGGAGAGGATTGGGGGGGGGCACATCTTTATTTATTTAGAAAACTGTTGTGGATGAGACACACGTTCTGTGTTGTTCCAGAGCCAAAACTAAGAGCTGAGGTACATGAGATTGTAGGGGAGGCCAAGTTCCAACTCAACAGAAGAACTTTCTATCAACTAGAGCTGTCCAAAAATGATCTGCTTATGTTTGTGGCTGGCCGCCCATCACTGGAAGTACGCAGCCAAAGCTACTTCTTGGCAGGGGAAGGGGAGGCAGGGGACTTCTACTGAACACAAGTTCGACTCAATCTAAGTAACCTCTAGAATCCTTTCTAAGATTCCAAGCTATTATCAAGCACACACCGTTACTGCCAACCACACATTCACAGGGCATGCACAGTAAGTTGATTTTTCTCCCATAGTAGTGATGCGTTTGTGCTAAGCCAGCCACATTCCTTGACTGAGCCCCTGGTTGCTGAGGAAACATGTCTGTGAATGGACTGATCTATCTATGGCCATCCTCTACAGTCAGAATGAAATTTTTTCCTGGCATTGAACTTGGGACCTTTGTCCCACGCTCCCACCCATCAGCCAGCCATTCCAAGTGGCACTTATGAATGTTATCTCACGAGTTCTCGTAAGAGGCTTATGGTTTAGGTAAGGAATTGGCAAGGTTGCACTTGATTCACCCCTCCCCTGCTTTTTTTCTTTTGCACACTCAAACAGGAACCTCCTCTGCCTGGCTCTCTTTGCCAGCTTTGGGATGAGAGGCAGAAGAGAGCCAGCACAGAAAGCTGGAAGAGTCTGCAGGGGAGAGTGTGTGGCAGCCCCTCTGTGGGCCTGGCCACCCGGCCAGGGGGATGGGGTCCAGAGAAGCCAAGATGAGTGAATGGCTTCAGTTAACCTTTGGGCTTTCTACAGGGGAAGTATAGCAATGACCATGACCCAGACACTCCTTTATTCTCTCTAAGAGACTGCCTTAAGGTCTACAGGTCTGTCCTACACCACTGTAATAATACCAGTAAGAAGAGTGGTGGTGGCAGGGCGCCTGGGTGGCTCAGTCAGTTAAGCATCTGCCTTTGGCCCAAGTCATGATCCTAGAGTCCTGGGTTCAAGCCCTGCGTTGGGCTGGCTCCCTGCTCAGTAGGGAGCTTGCTTCTCCCTCTCCTCCCTACTCATGCTCTCTGTTGCTATCTCTCTCTCTCTCTCTCAGATAAATAAATAAAATCTTAAAAAAAAAAAAAACAGTAATGGTGGTGGGGATAGTGGTGGTCACAAAGACAGCTAGTGTTTGCTGAGCTCTTGGTGTTTGCTAAACACCGTGATGAGCTCATTACAAGGATTCTATGAGGTAGATAGCATTTTGTAGATTAGAGAACTGAGGCCTAGAGAGGGTAAAGGATGTACCTAAGACCCCCTAAGACCCCTAAGTCTGACTCCAGAGCATAGACACTTCCCAATTCTGCTTTGCTGCCTCGCTTTCTGTATGTACATAGAAAAATGGCAACAAAAAATAAGTGACCTACCAGGTCTTTAATCAGCACGCAGCAGCAGAGCCCCAGGAGCAGCCTCTGAGAACAGGTGAGAGGTGGCATCTCTCTAGGTGCGCAGCCACACTCCTCCCCTCTTGAACTCTCACAGAGCAGCGACAGCCTAGCCCACTTTGAAGGTAGATGTTGTTTGCAGTTCACAGGGAAGTTCAGGGACTGGCTCAAGGTCACTGGGTGCAGAGGAGCTGGCACACCAGCCCAGGCGGCCTGCGTCTGCAAGTCTGTGCCTTCCCCGCCACATCAGCCTGCCTCCCTGAACGAACAAAGTCGAACACCCTCACAGACACTAAATTTATATTTCCTGGCCTCCTCTTCCAAAATGGATACACTAATTACTGGCCATTTTTTTTAGTAATACTAATCATCAGGAACACATTTTTCAGTGTTTCGTTTTCTCTTTCTGCGTACTACCGAAATAAAGCATTGCTCAAACCCACAGGATAAAACCCAGCGGGTGTGAGGCCATGTAAATTAAGACAAGTTCAGGAAGACATTACACTAAACCAAAAGAAACAAAGTGTTGATTAGGGGCTTATTTTTGTAAGCGATTAAAATATGAATCATTAAAATAGGACTGTATTTCAGGCTCTGTATCCTCCTCTCATCAGAGATGACATTACCATGACTACTAGGTTCAGATTAAATGTGTTCCAAGCCTTCTCAGCTCAAAAAGCCCACTCGTGTGTGCCATGGTTCCACCTTACACAGAACATTCTTCAAAGTCTGGTTCAGAACACCTCTGTATCCTCTCACCCATGTCATTATAAGGAAATATCCAAATGATACGCTTGCCTTCAGCTCTTTAAAGTCTTTTGCTTTATTTAAGCATCATAGTAAATAGTGTCACTAAGTAATATTAATAACCACCCAAACTCAAAGGTAGAGGAAAGAACAAAGTCAAAGCAGAGACACAAGGGCACCTCAGGAATCACTTAGGACAGAATATCCTCGAACTTTATTTGGTACAAACGGTTTGCAGAAAGAAAGAAATTAATATGGAGCATTTCTCAGGTTCAAGCAGAGTTTAAAAGAAAAAAATAATTTAGCAATAGCCCAAAATATGCAGTAAAATTAAGTTGTTAATTAAAGTATCTGTTAAAAATGGCTAAAATTAGAGACAAAAGCCCATTGTTCCCTACAATTGTTGACTGCGTATCTGTATGTGGAAGGGCGTAGGGGGACAGTCAGAAGCCTGTGGTATTTTAAAGATTAATCACCCACTCCTAAGGGGTTTTGAGCACCCACCTGCATTTTTGAATTTGGATCTAAGCCGAAGGGGTAGGACAAGAACATGACAGGTTTTGGGTTTGAGGTTTTTGGATTTGGGGTTTTGTTTTGTTTTGTTTTGTTTTGTAAGTAACTACTCACTGGACATTTTAAATACCAAATAGAACAGAGGGCCCTAGCTCAGACCAGCCCTCTGCCCATCTAGAGATGATTCTCAGGAGACTGTAGAACCTTGGAGCGATGCCAGTGTGTATTTTTAAAGGAGGTAAGCATCCCAGAATGTGCCAGTTCTTTATAGACTATCTTTAATAGTTAGCACCTCTGACCAGACTTATGCATTTTCTTCATCCTCATTCTCTTCCTGCCTGGGATTGGAGTGGGTTCGAAAGGCATTTTTTTTCTTTTGGAAGTTCTCTATGAAGAATGTATGAATTACCAGTGGAACATTAAACATTTTCAGACTTAATGACTTCATAATCCTTCTTTGGTTCATCTGAAATCCAACCAAAGATTGATATGAAAAGAATATTTTCCCCAAGAATAATAGCAATAAGTTGGAATCGTTGAAATGTCCCATAAAGTCAGGTGCATCCTTGTGATGAGTTATCATTTTGCAGCTAGTGGAGGGGTTCAATAATGTGAAAGGAAAAAGAGCTGAAACTAGTACAAGCCTTAGATAAAACCATAAATAGTAGGAATAAGACTTCTCTCTCTTAGCAGTGGGATTTTAGGTGATTTTTGTTTTCTTTCTGGTTTTCGACTTTTTTAAAAAACTTTTTTCATATATTACTTTCACAATTAAAAAAAATCCAATTAAACAATCACATGGCTGCGGCCCATGAGTTTCCCCTGTGTGCTACCTGAGGGTAGGTGGCATGCGTCTCTGGCTCACCGTTCTCTCTTTAGTCCAGTGCCACCCACAGAGTCAAAGCTCAGTCTGTTAACTAAAACATTCCCATTGCTCTAGTTCTCTTTATTTTTTTTTCTAGGTGATGTGCTCTATGAACTCCTTCAGCATATTCTGAAGCAGAGAAAACCTCGGATTCTTTTTTCACCATTCTTCCATCCTGGAAACTCTATACACACGCAGCCAGAAGTCCTACTGCATCAGAACCATGAAGAAGGTACTAGAGGAGGCTTTTCTTTCCTTGTATGAGATTTAGACAATCCAAAAGGTTTCATCATTTATTTGATAAGTTGTTCTTACTTGTGTGATTAGTTTGTTGTTTAACAGACACGCATTGAGTCCTCGCTATATAGAAGACGCTGAGAGAAATGGCAGGATGAATGAGGTGTACTCTTAATTCTCTGCAATCTCATAAAGAAATGAGGTTCATAGAGAAGTAGCAAAGTGTAGCTGTAAGAGTAGACATCCTAAAGAGACAATAGGAAGGAAAATGACATCCAGGCAGAGGCCTCAGGGTCAGCCTCATGAAGCAGGTGGTTCTGGGGGCTTCCTTGATCCAGCAGAATTCTGATAAGCCAGGGTGAAGTGGGGAACGCTCCGGGCAGAGAAAATAGATAGGATGCAGTGAGTCCCTGGAACAAGAGAGCTGTCAGATGACTTGGGTTATAAGGTTTATCTTTTAGCCACCCCCAACCAACCTTTTGTTCTAGAAAATGTCAAACCGGAGAGATTTCTCCCAAATAGAATGAAGTAAATAAACCCCTGTGAGCCATCACCCTATTTCAACAGTGATTGAGATTTTGCTTTAGCCAAGCTAGTCCGAGGAGGTTATGCTGGAGCCAGAATGTAGAGGACTTTGATGAAGGAGAATCATGGGGGGCGGGGAGAGGGGGTAGGGGATCTTTGAAAATTTGTGAGTAGAGGGTAATAAAAGCTGGGGGAACAAGACAGACTCAAACCCCATGAACTCTAGTGGGCCAGGGTTTTCCTCCTTCGTGCACCAAAGGCGGTTTCTTGCGGTGTGCTCATCGGTAAAATGCGTGCCTACTTCTGATGCGCCCGGTGCTATTCCTCTCTGGGAAGCCCATGTAGTCATAAAGTCAAAAAGTCATAAAGAAAATTAGTAGTAAACTAACAGGAAAAAGAACCAGAATTGAACTGTGGCCCTGGACATTGTTCCAAAGCAGGTGTTTGGATGCAGAAATCAGTTATTAAAATCTGACTTGGTGCATCACCCCGTTGAACAGAGATGCAGCGTGTCTCTGTCCCAGTGCAGTCAGTAAGCCCAGGTCAGTAAGACTACAGACACAGGGATGCAAAGTAATGCTTTTCAACCTGTACTTAGCCTCAGGACCAGATTACTTGAGGCCTACACCCCAGTTCCTTGGGGGTATTTCCTTAAATTGACTGAGCCTTCTTGATAGCAGGGCTAATATTTTGGTTTTGTTGTTGGCAAATTAAAAAATGAGAAGGTATTTGTTTTCTTAATTAACACTTCACAAAAGAGAGCCTGACTACAGGCGACCGCCATCCCTTCCACGTGCCAAGTGGCTCACAGCAGGGCCCCCTTGCTTTCGTGATAGAGGATAAAGGAGCAGCTCTTGCAAGCTCCCTGCCTGTTTCTCTCATCTTTTCTGCCTCCAGCTCTGCCCTTTTTTAATTTAGCAGCTGCCCCACCCCCGCCACACACACACACACACACAGGCACACAGCACACACACACATAATTCAGCTTCTCTGTTCTTTTGCTTTTCCTGCCACGTACATTTCCGGGTTGCATAATAACCAACAGCTATTCCAGAGAAGAGGAGGTGGATTTACTGAAGCTTGACATTAAGGCAAGAATCGTATTACCTAGTTTGCCGCCTCAGATACAAAAGGTGTGTGATGCCGCCCCCCCCCCTTCTGTACTCCTTATTTAAAAAAAAAAAAAAAAAAAGGAAAAGAAAAGAAAAAAAATCCCATTTGGAATTCCTATTCTTTTTATTCCCAGATGTGATTGGAAGCTTTTGGTCTTCCACCACAAATCCTTTCTTATCCCTTGGTCTGATTTGACCCAGAAGTAGGTGTTTGTTGTTCTCATTTGCAGCAGCTAATCAATAGAGAAAGCCCAGCTAACTCTCAGAGCTACTCTCAGACCAAGTAAATACGGATGTGCTGCTACGTACACCATAATGAGCTGTGCTCTTGAATGTTATGATGGTGGTGCTGGTGGTGGCTCAGGAGGTAAAAGAATGGAGCTAATGAGACCAAGGTCAAGGGTTTCATCACCCTGTGGACCAGTGAGCTCCACTTCAGACCCAGCTCTTAGAAGTAGTGTGTCCTCAGAGACCATTACTTAAAGCTTTCAGCCAGGAATCAAGACCTGAGTGTCCATGCCCGGTCAGCCGATTCTCTCAGATGGACAGGTGGACACATGAGAAGGGAAGTTTAGGTCTTTGTCAGATGGTATCAAATGAGAAGAGCTATACAAGGCATGGAGATGACTAAACAGGCTGCCTGCCTTCAGTCTGCCATTGGTGACAAGGGGACCTTCTATAGAGGGGAATGGGTCATTACAAGTTCCCTACCTCCAGATACCTCCTACCTCTTCCCCTTTTCTCCAAACTAAAAGAAAAACCATCAGCTCAACATGATTGGTCTCCAGAATTAATGCCGCTACACTTCCTTGTGAATGGCAAAACACTAAAATGGACATCTGTTGATGTACAGAAAGATCTGGTCCTGAAAAAAAGACAAATCTGTGAAGTGAAATTCTACATATCGAATAATAAATATCCCCAGTGATCTATTTCACATAATTGGGGGCTCAGTCCTTTGTAAAAGTATGTTGCTGTTGACCTGATGACGCAGGGATACTATGGCAGAATGGAAAGAGAACAGGAACATTCCAGAATAGAACGGAGGCGGCCCGTGAACAGCCTGGCACCGTGAGGTGTGCAGAGTGAAGCGCAAAGACAAAGCTTCATTTACCCTCTCCCCGTGATTTCACCTCATCCCTGCCACTGATTGAACCAATTCCGATATTCATCATTTCACAACGGGAATTGAGGTCACAACACAAACATATCTTGTTTAATCTAGCAACAGATCCCCGCAGATATCCCATGTGAGTGCCTGACATTGAAATCTCGCCTTCCTCCCTGGCAGCTGTGTGGCAGTGCCAGAACTGGAAGCTGGTGCTACAGCTCAGAGGCTCGCCTCCGGGCTCTGAGGGGAGAGGTGGGCGGTCAGACTAATTCCAGTTACCCTTTATTTTGTAAACACTCGTTAATCTCCATATTGTATGCTATTCTGACCATCGTCACGCCTTGGGCAAAGCAGCCCTCCAATGACTGTCCAGGTCCAGGAGAAGCAGCATTGCCACCCTCTTCCCTTAGTTACTTATGAGAAGAGAACACAGTTTCCTACAACGAAGACAGCCTTATAATCTCTCACTCATACTGAGCCACTGTGACAGGGAGACAGGACTCCACCAGCAGGCCTGCCGGGCAACAGGCACAAACCAGGACCACCCCGGACAACCTGGCACGCATGGTCAGCTTAGATAAAAATCTTTTAAAGGATGGGATTTGGAAGTCAGGAAACCAAGCTCAGAGCCTGTATTTTGCCAGAATACAGCTTAAAGGCCGGGTTTCTCTTCTCTGGCCCTTGGTTTCTCAGGTTGTAACCCGGGTTAGACTGAATGTTCTCAGATCTCCTATGCTCTCAAGTCCTACATTCCCTCCAAAGTCTTCGTCTCCCTGGGTGATAGGAAGGTGAATAAGAAACATTTTCTGCTGTCACATTTAGTTACCATTTGGGTAACTAAAATCCAGGAAATTCTAAGTTTAGTGTCCTGCTTGGTGTTGCTCAGAAACAGTTGAACATCGCTTCTGTCCTGCCTTGGCTCACCCTATCAAGAACTGCTGGTGATATTACCCCTCTTAGTGATCAAATCCAGAGTGACACCATCCCCTTATCTCATGACAGACAGCCTCAGTTCAAGTGGATCCCTTTTCTTTGTTGTGACTCATTTTTATCTGCATAATACAAATGAGTTAGAGGTTAGGTAGATAGTTATATAGGAAGGAGACAAAACAAAAAAGTGATATGTTTCTTTCACCAAAACCAGGAATAAAACATCTTTAGAAATATCATATCAGGGGCAGCCCGGGTGGCTCAGTGGTTTAGCACCACCTTCGGCCCAGGGCCTGCTGATCCTGGAGACCTGGGATCAAATCCCACGTCGGACTCCCTGCGTGGAGCCTGCTTCTCCCTCTGCCTGTGTCTTTGCTTCTCTCTCGCGTGTGCTCTCTCTCTCTCTCTGTGTGTGCGTCTCTCATGAATAAATAAAATCGATCTCTCCTCCCACCCTCTCCTCTGCCCCATCTAAGAGCATGGAGTGGGGGTGATGTTTAACCACTTTAATTTGAAAACATTCACCCATGCAGTGCTGTAATGGTTTCGGCAATAGAGGACACACTTTTAAGACACCAGTGTTACTCTGGAGCAGCTCTTTGCCACCAGGTGGACCTGGAAATAGTAAATGAATGGTGAGAACTTTCAAGTGTTGAAACAGTTGACCTCAGTTCTCCCTACAACCAGCACATGGTAACAGCCCAGAGAATAGAGAGAGGTCATTTCTTTGTGGGGAGTGGGTAGGGTGACATGCATTCTGGGATAGCCCAGAGATTTTCATTTATTTGATTGCTTTATTTTTTTAATTTTTTATTTACTTATGATAGTCACACAGAGAGAGAGAGAGAGGCAGAGACACAGGCAGAGGGAGAAGCAGGCTCCGTGTACCAGGAGCCCGACGTGGGATTCGATCCCGGGTCTCCAGGATCACGCCCTGGGCCAAAGACAGGTGCTAAACCGCTGCGCCACCCAGGGATCCCTTTGATTGCTTTATTAATGAAAATGTTTTCTTTCCACCCTTAACCCAAGGGTGTCAAATCCACATGCCCAAAGACTGATTTGGAGGAAGGAAATCTAACACGATTTTAATGAGATAATTAAAGAAGACACGGTATATGAATCTGCTTCATAGTAACAAAATAATAGCTAACATTTATTGTGTGCCAGACCCTGTTCTAAGGTCTTAGGTGTCCAAGTCATTTCATCTTCACAGCTACTCTATAAATAAGGTAATGCTAACCCCATTTTACAGATGAGGAGATAGAAGCTGAGAGCCTCCAGATCACACAGCTACCAAGTAGCAAAATTAAAACTTAG